TATATATAATATTTAAATATTATATGCATGCAAACGTGCCTGTATGTCCTGTTCGTTTCTGAGGTGTATATACACCCAAATTATGTTATACACAAATATAAATAAATAAATAAATAAATAAATAAATAAATAAGTAAATATTTGTTTATTTATTATTTGTTGTATACTTTTTAATTTGTTTTTGTTTAATAATAAAAATAAAAAAAATAATTATTTAAATTATTTTTTCCCTTAGCGCGTCAGTGCAACGCGACAGCAGCAGCAGCTGCAGCAGCAGCAGCAGTTGCTGCAGCAGCAGCAGTTGCTGCAGTAGCAGCAGCAGTTGCTGCAGCAGCAGCAGTTGCTGCAGTAGCAGCAGCAGTTGCTGCTCATACATACAATGTGCTGCAGCAGCAGCAGCTGCTGCTTATAATAATAATCTGCAGCAGCAGCAGCAGTTGCTGCTTATACACATAATCTGCAGCAGCTGCTGCAGCAGCAGCAGCTGCTGCAGCAGCAGCAAAAGTTTTTCTCCCTTAATACAAATAGAAGAACAAAACCCTAAATTAGGGTTTTAAGCAAATTTTTGCTTTTTTTATTCGTGGCTTATTGTTGCTGCTGTTGCTGCTGCTGCTGCTGTTGCTGCTGCTGCTGCTACTGCTTAGGTGTCTTGACGTCTGTTATATTTATATTAGGTTTGTCTTTTTTATTTATTATTTATTATTTATTATTTATTATTTATTATTTATTTATATATATTATGTACTTATTTATTACTTATTATTTATTATTAATATAAACCCTAAACCCTAAACCCTAAACCCTTCCTCGCCAATAACGGAGGAGGAGCTATTTGTTGAATACCTAAACCCTAAACCCTAAACCCTAAACCCTAAATAAACCCTGAGAGTAGTTGGGCATTATAAATAAAGGGGAAAAAGAAAAAGAAAAGGTTTTATTGTTTAAGTTTACGTTTCTTTGCTGCTGCTGCTGCTGCTGCTGCTCCTGCTGCTGCTGCTGTTGCGGTGTATCCATCATTAGCTATTCTTTTATTTTTTCCTTTCTTTGATGATAAAGAAAGAGAAGAGGAATTCTTTTGCTTCTTTTCTTTTTTATTCCCCTCTCCTTCTGCTTCTGCTGCTCCTGCTGCTGCTCCTGTTGCTCCTGTTGCTGCTGCTGCTGCTGCATCTCCTCCTTTTGCCTTAGCAGCATTTCTTTTCTTCTTTAAGAACTCCGCCTATTAAACAAACAAAGAAAAAACAAAACAAAAAAGGAATATATATATTTCCTCTTTTTTTTCTTATTATTAATACTTATATATAAATATATTTATATTTATTTCCTCTTTTTCTTATTAAATAAAGAAAAAACAAATAAAAAAAAAGAAGAAATAAATAAATAAATAATTATTTACTCTTCTTTTACGACGTTCTTCGTTTTTCTTCTTTATTTTCTCCATTCTTCCTTTAGATTTTCCTCCCCTGTATACAAAAAAAAAGAAGAAAAAGAAGAAATAAACAAAAAAGGCTATACATAACAACACATTATTGCTGCATTATAAACAAATAAATAAATAAATAAATAAACAATAAATAAAAAAAAATAAATTAATTAATAAAAGGAAAAAAAATGTTATCTCTGCTTACCCTCCTGCCGTCAGCTCGACCCTTATTTTTCTATCGTTAAGGGTCCTACCGTCATAATTTAGTGCAATCTGCATAAAAAAGCATAAAAAAACAGATAAATTTAAGCATTAATATTTATTAATAATTTATTATTAATTATTAATTCTTTAATAGCAAGAAAAAGGAGAAGAAATAACAAAAAAAACATCGCTTTCCCTTAAAAATTCATGAAATTGAGCTGCATATACACCCGAAATTGAATTCATGAATTGTTCTTCTTTTTGCAACAAAAAGAAAATAAAAGTTAATTTATTTAATTTACTGAATTTATTTATTTAATTTATTTATTTATTTTATTTTATTTATTCTTTTTATTCTCTTTTTTTACCTCCATTGCCTCTTTTTTTGTGAATTCTACAAACGCGCATCCTTTGGATTTATTTGTCTTTTTGTCCGTCAAAAGGCGAACATCTTTTATAAATATTTCTGCATGCAATTAGCAGCAGCAGCAGCAGCAGGAAAGGAATAAATATATAATATATATTTATTTATATTATATATTATATATATTATGTATATTTATACTTTTATTTAGACCTACGTAGCTTGCGGCCAAAGAAAGAACGGATGTCATCAGTAGTAGAAGAAAGAGGTAAATTACCTACAAATAACACAAATAGAGGACGCTGCAGCAGCAGCAGCAGCAGCAGCAGCAGAAGCAGCAAGAAAATACAGAAATAAACAAGCTGTACGCCTGCATGCATCTATTATATATAAATATATAATATATAATATATATACATATACATAATAAGCTGCCTATACACCCCAATTATTTTCTTACAGATTTCTTTTGTCCATCGGCTGATGGCGGTAAAGATGAACTCTCTCCTGTCTCCACCTTAAGGTTAGATATATCCTGCTGCTGCTGCTGCTGCTGCTGCTGTTGCTGCTGCTGCTGTTGCTGCTGCTGCTTCTTGTTGGCCTTCTTCGTCTTGGCTGTCTGCCGCTGCGCCCGCAGCGCAGACTTTAGCAGCTGCAAGGAACGCTTCATGCTGCACCAACAAGATTAATTTGCTGCTGCTGCTGCTGCTGCTGCTGCTGTTGCTGCTGCTGCTGCTCTTATGGCAGCTGCTACAGCTGCTGCTGGCAATGTTGCGCTTGCAGCAGCAGCAGCAGATGGAGTTATAGAGCTTTTTCTCCGGGATCTGTAGCAGCACTAGCAGCAATTATATTTGTTGTTGCTGCTACTACTGTTGCTGCTGCTGCTGCAATATGTTTTGCTGCTGCTGCCGAGTCATGCATGCGATCCACACAGTTGACGCTGCTGCTGCTGTTGCTGCTGCTGCTGCTGCGTCAATCTCTTAGGCGCCTACAGCAGCAAATGTTAGCAAGACAATAAAGGTAATTAAATTATAATAATAACATTAAATAATATAAAAATAATAATTAAATATATTCTGCTGCAGCAACTGCTGCTGTTGCTGCAGCAAAACGGCTACTGCTGCTGCTGTTGCTGCTGCTGCTGCTGTAGAAGTCAGAGATGGGGCTGCAGCTGTATTGCCTTCTGCTGTTTTTCTTTGAATAAATAAAAAAATATTTATTTATTTATTTATTTATTGCTGTTATATCTGCGCTGTATGTATACAGCGCATTAGAAAGAATACCAACTGCAGCAGGTGCTGCAGCTGCTGCTGCAGCAGCAGCAGCACAAGCAGCAGCAGCAGCAGCAGCAGCGTCTTATCGCAGACCTTATATCTGTGTAGGAGAAGATGGCGAGTCTTCCTGCTTCTAACAATCCCTCTGCAAACGGTGTTGCAGCAGAAACGTGCAATGCAGCAGAAGCAGCAGCAGGCACAGCAGCAGCAGCAGCAGCAGCAGCAGCAGCAGCAGCAGCAGAGGAAGAAAATGATTCTTGTCAGCTAGGAAGCTTTGAAGCAGTGACACCAAAGGAAGCAATTGCTGCCTATATGTGTCCAGAGGAAGCAGCAGATAGTATAAGAAGTTTATGTCTGCTGCCCCCTGCTGCTGCTGCTGCAGCAGCTGCTGCTGCTGATGGTGCAGCACAACAAGCACTAGGACCAGCAGCAGCAAGCCAGATACAAGAGACTGCTCTTGCTGCTCTGCTGCTGCACCTACACATGGGTCGTATATCTTTTGTTGAGGTAATAAGATATGCAGACAGCTGCAGCACAGCAGCAGCAGCAACAGCAGATGCAACAGCAACAGCACTAGCTACATGTACAGGTTATGTTAAGGCAGCACAAATGCGTAAATCTGCTGCTGCGCTGCCTGCGCAAATATTACGGCGTATGCCCGATCTATCTCTCCGCAACAGCAGCAGCAGCAGCAGCAGCAGCAGCAGCAACAGCAACAGCAGCAGCAATAGCAGCAGCAGCAGCAGCAACGACACCTGTAGTACAGGCAAAGAAGATGACATGGATGCAGAGATAAGCAACAGCAGCAACAGCACAACAGCAAGTAGTTGTGTCCCTGATAACAGCAGCAGCAACAGCAAGAGCAACAGCAGCAGCAGCAGCAGCAGCAGGGAGAGATTAGCAGCAGACGATCCTTTATGGGTGTTGCTGCTGCAGTGCAGCAACAAATATTTTACGGATTGGCAAGGAACAGAAGGAGGAGTTAGTTGCTGCTTATCTATAGCACAATCGTCACCAGAGCTGCTGCAGCTGCTGCTGCCTATACCCAACAGCAGCAGCAGCAGCAGCAGCAGCAGCAGCAGCAATGATGACGATAGCAGCAGCAGCAGCATAAATAAGTACTGGACAGCAGATTGTACTGTTGGTTTATTTATGTTGCGGTGTCTGCTGCAGCAGGTACATGCACCATCATTTGTACAGGGTACAAGACAGCAGCTGCTGCAGTTGCTGCTGCTGCTGCTGCAGCATTGTGTATCATCAATAAAAGAGGAGCAGCAGCAGCAACCAGTAGCATTAGATATATGTAGACAATTAGAGGGAGAAAGAGATCCTCGTTGCTTACTTCTTGTATTTGCTGTTGTTAAGGAATTGGGGTGTACGTACACCTCGTGCATGCGCCCAACAGAAATAGAGGCTGCTGTTGATGTTATTATGAGTTACTTCCCTATCTCATTCACACCACCACCTAATGCCGTCGCATCCGTTACAGGTCAGCTCCTGCTCCTGCTCCTGCTGCTGCTGCTGTTGCTGCTGCTGCTGCTGTTGCTGCTGCTGCTGCTGCTGCTGCTGCTGCTGTTGCTGCTTTTGCTGTTGGGGTAGAGGCTGTTTGAGGGTTTTATAATTTAAATTTATTTAATTTAAATAAATATTATTTTATTAATACTACGAAGAGTTGCATGCAGCAGCAGCAGCAGCAGCAACAGCAGCAACAAATTGTGTTTGTTTCTTTTGTGTTTGTGTGTCTTGTGGTGTACAGAGCAGCAGCTAAATGAGGCATTTGCTGCTGCTGCTTCTTCTTCTTCTCTTTATGGTCCCTTAATTCTCTCTCTTGCTGTTGATTGTGTCCCATCTCTTATAGAGGACTGCAGCAGCAGCAGCAGCAGCAGCAGCAGCAGCAAGACAGGAAACCCTTTGCAGAAGGCATTAAACTCTCTATCTCCTTGTCTGCCATACTTCGAGGCTGCTGCTGCTGCTGATGCTGCAGTGCAGCTAGGCTTGCTGCTGCAGCAGCTGCAGGAGCAGCAGCCAGAGGATATGCTCCCTCTTGAGGCTGTGGATCTTTTTGGTTTGCTGC